GTGGGAGTCCAGCCACATAGCCATTACGCTAACTGCTGGTTCCCTCCCAGTGTGTTTTTCAAGCCACCAGGTCCAGGACTCAAACTGTGTAGTTAGACATATAGGATCCAGCCAACTTAACCGCGGTGCCACTGGCTTGCCCTCATTTTTATTTCTTTAGTTCCTTGTTTTCACTTTTCTTATCCTTTACATCCCTTACCATCCTGGTATTTATTTCGTAGAAAGATGGAGAGACAGTGAGAGAGATCATCCTCCAGGGGGATGACCATGTCTTCTCCTCCATTCTCCTCTAGGGATCTTGGACACACACACATACAGTGTGATTTTCAAGCTGCTAGGTCCGGTACTCAAACTGCATTCGGCCATGTGGGAGTCCAGCGCCTTAACCACCACACCACCTACTGGCCCTAGTCTTCATTTCTGATTTCTCATAGTTCTTTCTTTAGTTCCATCCGCTCCTATGTCATATTCTCTTGTTATCTGGCCATCACTTTCTGGGCTAGGACATTTCCTCTCTAAGGTGATATTCTGGTCTGTGGGTTTTTTTCTAGCTGCAATTGGCATCATTAAGTTTTTCATTTATCTTAGGATATTGCAGTATAATTTTCTTTAATTGGTGGCAACACTTTTCTGGTGCATTTTCTTATCAGTTCCTTAATTGGAATGAGTTTGATTTTCCTGGACCAGCTATCTACAGAACGATACTGAGGAAACTGAGTCAAGTATGTAAAGCATTCACAGTTTCTAGGAGCAAGGGTCTTTCTTCTATTGCTACATTGAAGGATACGTCTTTTAATATATGTTGGTAGTTCCCTGTGTAGCCAGAATCTGATTCTTACATGCTAACTTAGTCCAGGAGGGCTTGTACTAACACTTCCTTCCTTCCATTCAGCACCAGTCAGTGCTATCAAGGGACATTGTCATTTGCCTTCCAAGGTAGTCTCCCTCTTTCATAAGTGTTGCTTTTTGGGGCTGGCAGGTGGCATGGGGGTTAAGGGTGCTGTACTCCCACATGGCCGGCTACAGTTCAAGTCCTGGACCTGGTGGCTTGTTTTCTCACTTTGCCTCTCTCTCTCGCTCTCTCTCTGATCAAACTGGAAAATAATAATAATAAAGTTAAATAAAATAATTCTTTTTGTAAAGTGCTTTTTTATGCCAACTTTTACATTTTTTAATTATTTAACTTTATTATTATTATTTTCCAGTTTGATCAGAGAGAGAGCGAGAGAGAGAGGCAAAGTGAGAAAACAAGCCACCAGGTCCAGGACTTGAACTGTGGTCGGCCATGTGGGAGTACAGCACCCTTAACCACCATGCCCCCTGCCAGCCCCAACTTTTACATTTATTATACATTCTATTTTAGCATCAGAGATTAAATTTTTTGAGGCTGGCCCAGAGTCATTCCAGTTTCACCTGCTGCTATCTTGCCCGAAGGGGAAGGGCGTTGGTCTGGTTCAAGAAATGCTTTCTTATATATTTCCCTTTATGAGCCTTCATGCTCTTTCCATGCACTTCATGTCTCCCCAACACACACATCCCACCGTGTTTGTTCTCTGTCTTTTTCATAGCCATTCTCTCTAAAGATGGGTCCTTCTCAGGCATGTGAGGGTTAATACAGAATTTTCTAAGGATTTAGAATTTGCCACCATTATAATCCCTATGCATTCTCTGATCTACACCATTGCATCCACCATGCCAATCTCTCAGTTGTGGCTTTCCATATTGGTTCTGCAGGATTGGAGTGCTTTGGGCCACACATGCTGGAGTTTGTAGATCTCATCTATGCCTAGTTCCGCTGGCAATTATGGTTTCTATGTTTTCTAAGAGAAAAGTGAGAAGACTTGGAACTAGGCTATCACCATATCCCTATAAGAAACTCCCAAAATGCCTTTTGAAAATAAATTTAATAAGCTTAAAAATCATCTGAGACACTCAGTGGCTGTTAGTTTTTCGAGTATATATGTCTTAACTCCTCTGCTTGAGCCTCTTGAGAACAGAAGGTTCTGATACTTTTCTTTTTTTTAGAGAGAGAGATTTTTGCTTTAGGGTGCATGCACTCTCTGGAGAGACAGAAAGCGAGAAATCACCCCTCCCCATCCCCCCAGGAGGACGGCTATTCCACAATCCCTTCTCCTCCATTCTCCTCTCAGGATTTTGGGCACGCATGCACATGAACCTGGCTTGAGTTTTAAGCCACTGGGTCCAGGACTCAAATCACGGTCAACAATGTGGGAATCCAGTGATGTAACCGTTACGCCATCCATTGGTCCCAGTTCTGATACTTCTGTTTATCCGATGACTCACTGTACAAGGTCTACCTTCAATGAATATTATTCAACAGTCACAACAGGGACCAGTATGTGGTGTGGTGGTTAAGTTGCTGAGCTCCCGCATGGCCACCTGCAGTTTGAGTCCTGGACCTGGCAGCTTGAGAATTACACCGTGTGTGTGTGTGTGTGTGTGTTTGTACATGCCCGAAATCTCAAGAGGAGAATGAAGGAAGAGAAGGGATTATGGCAAGGCCATTCTCCCTGGAATGTGATTTCTCATTTTCTCTCTGTCTCATGAGCACATGCACCCTATGGCAAAAAAAAAAAAAAAAAACACTAAAAATCAAAGTGTTCAACAAAAAATAAAGGAAATTTTAAAAATAAAGGCACAACAGAGCTCACTTGTCTCTAGCCGTGTCCATCACATCTCCTGTCTAAAAAGACACCCATAGCTCCCTGCACATGTTTTTGAAGTTCCTTATAAAGAGTGGTGCTTGGGAACCAGCAGTTAGCGTAATGGCTATGTCGCTGGACTCCCACGTAGTCAACCGCGGTTCACGTCCCGGACCTGGTGGCTTAAAACTCACAAAAAAAAAAAAAAAAAAAACCACACTAAAAATCAAAGTGTTCAACAAAAAATAAAGGAAATTTTAAAAATAAAGGCACAACAGAGCTCACTTGACTCTAGCCGTGTCCATCACATCTCCTGTCTAAAAAGACACCCACAGCTCCCTGCACATGTTTTTGAAGTTCCTTATAAAGAGTGGTGTTTGGGTCTGGCAGGTGGTGTGGTGGTTAAGAGTGCTGAACTCCCACATGACCAACTGTGGTTCGAGTCCTGGACCCAGCAGCTTGCTTTCTCTCTCTCCCTCTCTGGTCAAATTGACATAAATAAAGTTCAATAAAATAGCTTTTTTTTTTTTACTTTTTTTGGGGGGAGGGGAGAGGGTTTTGCTATAGGGTACGTGTGCTCACCAGAAAGACAGAGATAGACAGAGAGACAGAAAGGGAGAAATCACCCCCAGGGGAGATGGCCACACCACAATCCCTTCTCCATTCTCCTCTCGGGATCTTGGGCATGCACGTACACACGCACAGCGTGAGTGAAAACACCAGGGCAAGAACTCAAACCATGGTCAACTACATTGGAGTCCAGCAACATAGCCATTATGCCAACTGCTGGTCTCTCAATAAAATAACTCTTAAAAAAAAAATGATGTGGAGCTATTGCTACATGACATCTTTGAGATGAAGAGTGGGCTTGGATCACTCTTCAAGCTTCTCTGCACTCAGCATTTGTACTTTAGCTATACCCATCCTAGTTGGGAGGCTGAGCACTCCCTGGCTGTAGACGCTATCAAACTGTGAATGGGGGCACTTGGGAGGTGCACTCAGGAAGTGTCTGGCCCTATGGAAGTGATGGAATGCAATATGCTGATAGGCTAACTTGCCTCTGTTTTCCCCCAGGAGCATAGACTCACTGAGCTCAGGCTTCCAGTCTTGGGAAGCTTTCACCTTTAAAAACCCCTAAACCTGGACAGCAGATGATATAATGGTTATGTCACTGGACTGCCACGTAGTTGACCACAGTTCAAGATCCAGATCTGGCAGCTGAAAACTCACAACAGGCATGTATGCATGCATGCCCAAAATCCTAAGAGGAAGGTAGAGGAGAAGCAATTATAGCATGGGCAAGGGGTGGAATTTCTCACTTTCTGTTTCTCTGTCTCTTTCCAGTGAATACACGCACCCTATAGCAAAAATCTCTCTTCAAAAACAAAACAAAACCATGAAAACCCGAACAGGGCCAGCAGATGGCATGATTATTAAAGTGCTAGACTCCCACATGGCCAACAGTGGTTCCAAGTCTTGGTCCTGGTGGCTTGAAAATCATGTTGGCAGGGCCAGCAGGTGGTACAATGGTTGGAGTCTGGATTCCCACATGGCCAACCATGGTTCAAGTCCCAGACCTGGTGGCTTGCTTTCTCACCTTCCCTTTCTTTTTCACACATCCTACAGGAAATTAAATAAAATAAATAATATTTTTAAAATAATTATTTTTATTTTTTAAAAAAAGGAAAATCATGCTGGGTGTGCATGTGTGCCCAAAATCCCAGGAGGAGAATGGTAGAGAGGGGATTGCACCCCTTGGAGGTGATTTCTCACTTTCCCTCTCTCTGTATCTGGCAAGGGCACATGCCCTATGGCAAAAACCTAAAATAAATAAATAAATAAATAAATAAAAATTAAAAACAACCCAAGCCTGCCCTCAAATACATATTTAAGAAAAGTTTCCAGGGTCAGCAGATGGTGTAATGGCTATATCACTGGATTCCCATGTAATCAACCACAGTTCGAGTCCCAAACCTAGTGGCTTAAACTCACACCAGGCACGTGTGCGTGTGTGTGTGCCCAAGATTCTGAGAGAAGAATGGAGAAGGAATTGTGGCGTGGCCATGCCCCCTGGGGAGTTACTTCTCGCTTTCTGTCTCTCTTTCTGGCGAGTGCACGTGCCCTATAGCAAAAAACTCTCAAAAAAGAAGAAAAGTTTCCTGCATTTAATCACACTTTTATCTTTTTATCTAGGGATATCATATTTTCTTTTTAATGTTATCAACTCAAACACTACTGTTGTGGTTATATTGTGTACAGTTTTTTACAAAATCTCAATTCACTTGATTATCTTGTAATACTCCTATCCTCTAAGCTCCATTTCTGAGGTACAAAGTAACATAATGGCCTTTCTTTTATTAAAAACACTTTTTAAAAATCACTCAGGAAGCTCAGAAGAGTTCAAAGAATTTTTAACGAATTTCAGATACAAACAAGATGGAATCATTATGAGCATGGGAAAATGGAGGGTTCATCTGACACTCGGAGCTCCTCAAAGGCAGCAGAGACTGGTGGAAAAGGGGGAGCTACACACACCCACATCATGCACTCACATAGCTTGCAGAAGGGGGTAAAGACAATATCCTGGTCTAGATGACTGTTTCCTCCTTCAGCAGTGTCTCCTTTTGTATTGAGCTCAGTTCTCCTCCCAAACTCTCCAGCTTCTCCAGGTGCTGGATCCCCTGGACCTCCTCAACGTTCTGGGAAGTGCGCCACAGCCAGCAGCTAAGGCAGGTTGTTTCTTGAGAGAGTGCAATGGCACCTGGGGAACCACAAAATGTGGGGCAGGTCAGAGAAAAAGAGAGTAGAGCTTGATGTCCTCCTCTAACGTGGGTCCTTCTGGTTCTGGACCTGACCGCATTCTCCTTCCAACTTACAGACAAAGAAAGAAACCAGTGTCTTTGAAGCACCCTCCAACCCCCATGTTTTTCCTTTTCTCTCTGTAAGGAGAAAGTGAGAAAGCAAGCTGCCAGGTCCAGGACTCGGTCTGCATAGTTGGTCATGTGGGACCTAGCCACCTTAACCACCACACCACTAGCCGGCCCTGGTTTTTGTTTGTCCTTTGATGCAGCTTTCTCACTTTCCCTTTCTGTCCCTCTCTGTCTCTCTGGTCAAATTTTTAAAATAATACATAAACTTAAAAAAAAAGTTCATTTTTAAAAAATGAATGACATCGGGGCAAGCAGGTGGTGTGGTGGTTAAGGGCACTGGACTCCCACCTGCCCAACCGTGGTTCGAGTCCCAGACCTGGTGGCTTGCATTCTCACTTTGTCTCTCTCTGGTCAAATTTAAATAAATAAGTAAATGTTAAAAAATAAAAATAATTCCTTAAAAAAATGAATTATATAAATTATTCTAACTTGGAACAATCTCAGGGATACAATGTTGATCGAATATAGTAAGTTCCAGAAGAATAAATACAGTCTGATTACATTTATATAAAGCTTCAAAGCATACAAAAATAAACAATATACTAAGTACATAGAGCCAGCCAGCAAATGGCATGGAAGTTAAGCCATTGGATCCCACATGGCTGAGTGCACAATTCAAGTCCTGGATCTGGCGGCTTGAAAATCATGCTGGAGACATGTGCATGCATGCCCAAAATCCTGAGAGGAGAATGGAGGAGAAGGGATTTGAGCGTGGCTATCCCCCTGGAGGGTGATTTCTTACTTCCCTCTCTCTGTCTCTGTTTCTCTCCAGTAAGCGTACATACCATACAGCAAACAAATGAAAAAGAAAATTTATGAGTGTAATAAATAAATTTCAGAACAGTTATTTCTGAAGTGGGAAAGAAAAGGAAAGGATCTTGAAAAACCATGGGTATTAGAGGGTGCTTCAAAGACACTGGTATTCATAATATTTTCATTAATTTTGAGGGGATATTTCCCCCATTTTAATGTGTCTAAAATAAGGTTGTGTCTTACAAGCCATAGCATCTTAGAATTGTACTTGGCACCAATTTTTCTTTCTCGGTGGTATCAATAATGGTATAACTTATAAGCAATAGATTCAATAAAATATGACTAGTTCTTGGGACCAGCAGATGGCATAATGGTTACATTGCTGGAATCCCACATGACTGACCACGGTTCAAGTCACAGACCCAGAAGCTTGAAACTCACACTGGGTACATATGTGCATGTGCCCAAAATCCTGAGAGGAGAAGGAGGACAAGAGGTTACAGTGTGGCTATCCCCTGGCAGGAGTGATTTCTTGCTTTCAGTATCTCTGTCTGTCTGTCTGTCTCTCTCTCTCTGTCTCTCTCTCTCTGGTGAGTATATGTGCCCTATAGCAAAAATCTCCCTCTCAA